GTTATGATATTAGGATTAAGGATTCCGATTCCCGATTAATAGAAAATATGAAACAATGCAATATTAGTTAAATACTTAAATCTATGACTTTACAATGAAAGTCTATTTAATATGCTTTTGTCTTGGGATTACAATATTAATTAAATTTTCGATGAAAGCCTATTCAATATCTGAAACAGTGCAATTAATGCAAGCCTCTACATATAATTTTTCTCAATCTCAAATGCTTCAAAGAAATGACAGAAGCGAGAAGGGATGAAGAAAGCAAATGTTGCGGGCCGTGGGTCAATTATTGGACTTCAGAATAAAAAAAAAAATCATTTAAGCCATAAATAAAAATTTAAATATATATAAATGTATATATCGTATGGGTCTTTAATGTTTTTCTTGATGTCTAAACTTAGGACTTTTAAAAGAAAAAAAAATACATTTGAATTATCTCCACAAAAAGTAGTCTTGGACTTATAAAATGACATTTGAGTTTATGGAATGCCATGTGCATAAAGAATATATTATATAATCATATAAAAAAACATGTTCAATTAGAGTTTAAATTTACTCATACAAAATTTGAAATTTGCTTTCTAAATGTAATTATCTTAGTTATTATTCGTATTGTGAAAATTATAATATAGATGAAATACAATTAAGAATAAATCAATGTAATTATGTAAATTCTCTCTATATAAGTTTATTTTGAGATTATATTAACCATACAAAATTTTAATTATAATTTTGTATTCTATAAAAATAATAAATACTTGACCAATGGAAGCTCAAAAATATTATTATATTAAACAATTTAAAATATTTTTATTTTTTCTATTTTTTATTTATATTTATAATAACATAATTTTTTTCCTGTGCATCGCGCGGGTAAATTACTAGTACTAATAATAATAAGTTAAATAGAAAAATATAAAAAGATTCTGAATCTATACCATTATTAAAAAGAAAATCCTTCTTCCTTACTTTCACACCCAAACAATAGAAAAAGAAAAAAAATTATAATATAATTAAAAACAAAATTCTATTTACTTGATTTATCGCCCAAACAATAGTAAATAGTAAAGGTAAATTAAAAAAAAAAAGGATGAAAAAAAAGAACAAAAATATTTCACAATAATATTCTATATTATCAATTAAAAATGGAATGAAAATTAGGTAAATAAATAAGTACTATATTATCAATTAAAAATGGAATGAAAATTAGGTAAATAAATAAGTATCTGTTCAAACATATTTTCTCAACCAACACCTTCACTAAGACTTAATCTCATGACTTCCCACATAAGAGAGGTCACTACATGCCATCTGAGCACAAGGTGCTTGGCAACAAACATTAGGTTAATTGAAAAAGGAAATGAATATTAACAATTGTTTGAAAATAAGAAAAAATTCATAATTGACTAAAATAGAAAAAAAAATGGTCAGATCATTGCATTTTAATTTTTCACAATAATATTACACAGTATAATACATCAAATCACAAGTATGTCATAAATTTTACACAATTTTAAACAATAGAATGGAAATATTTCAATAATAATATTCTACACTATCAAGTAAAGGTAAATTAAAAATGAAAAGGAAATACTTCAATAATAATATTCTACATTATCAATACTAAAGACATATTTTAAACAATAGTAAAGGTAAATTAAAAATGTAGCGAAAATTAAAAATGAAATGAAAATATTTCAATAATAATATTCTAAATCATCAATTAAAAATGAAATGAAAATTTGGTAAAAATATCATTGCATTTGATATTTTAGTTGTTAATTGATTAATTGACTAAAAATAAAAGAGAAGTAATTGGATGAAAATAAATATGATATTACTAATGGATTGAAAATTTAAAAGGAAATGAATATTAATAATTGACTGCAAATAAAAAATTATTCATAATTGACTAATATGAAAAAAATAAATGGTTAGATCATTGCATTTTAATTAAAATGGAAGGGAAACTAAAATTGAACGCCAATATTTCAATAATAATATTCTACATCATAAATAGTAAATGCATATTTTAAACAATAGTAAAGGTAAATTACAAATGGAACAGAAATATTTCAATAATAATATTATACATCCTCAATTAAAAATGGAACACAAATTAGGTAAAAATATCACTCCATGTAATATTCTAATTGACTAAAAATACAAAAAAATAATTGACTGAAAATGAATATGATATTACTAATTTATTTAAAATATAAAAGGATCGCTAATTGACTAATATTATACCATTATATATTTTCACCGAGTCACCCATCCTGATCAATTGAAGGTGTTAGCTCTAGACGATGATGGACAAGATTGTGTTGCTACTACCAATGTCGTCTACAAAGAGGTTTCAACAATGTGTAAATAAAATCGTTGATATTATATTTTTTAAATGACAAAATTGCTATATGTATAGACAAAAAAAATATCCTCCATACAAATGAATTAAGATAACAATTCATTCATATAACTGAGTTGCTAGAAAACGAACACATTTGTATAATTTATAAAAAAAAAATACTAAACAATGATAAAAAAATCTCCAAAGTTATAACACTACATGCATACATCTACACATTAGCTATTAATTTGAGCAATTATTTGCTTAAATTCCTACAATGATAATATAAAAACACATAAATGATCCAACCCGTATATTCAATTAAACTATATAATATTTGATGTTCTAACTTAAATAATTATATACCGATCCAAATATTCTTAATATATTACAACAAATCTATTCCGTGCATCGCACGGGCGCAAATACTAGTATGTATAAATATATCTACCCACACAATCAATGCATTCATACTTGCTAATCTAGTTTCTATCAAAATGCATTCACACTTTGGAGGGAAAATTCTGTGGCTAGATTCTGTTTTATTATATATATACTAGTTTTTTACGCGCATTGCGCGATTGAGATAATGCCCAATGTTTTTTTTTAAGTACTTTAAAGTATATCAAGGCAAGATTATATTGGAATTGTTCATGCATAGATAATTGAATGTTAAATTTGCGTATTTAAATATGCAATTCTAAGTTTACAAATACAAGATAATCTAGTCAAGATTGATTATAATTGTCAATAAAATAATTGTATATGTATGGTTGAAACCAAATACGGGACATAAGGAGAGCAAATAAAAATTAGGGCATAAAATATTAAATATATACTGATATTGAAGAGCTAACTGTTGATTGCCAAATAAGGACATTGTGAGATAATTTTCCCACTTCAATTTGTTGTGTGATTTGAATACTCTTTTTGTCAATAAATCCCCCAAGTAGTTAATATGATTGGCTTAATTATATTTTTTTTATTTTTTTATTTTTAAAACAATTATTATTATTATTATTATTATTATTATTATTATTATTATTATTATTATTATTATTATTATTATTATTATTATTATTATTATTATTATTATTATTATTATTATTATTATTATTATTATTATTATTATTATTATGTATACCCTTAGGTCATTTTACATGTTAATCTAAACAGCTAATTTTTCAAATATCTTTTTACCAACCGTTTATATAATTCGCTGGTCAAATTCGCTAATATAATCCGCTAACGCTAACCGCTAACTGCTGATTGTCAAACAAGGACATTGCGAGGTAGTTCTCACTTCAATTTGTTGTGTGATTTGGATACTCTCTTTGTCAACAAATCCCTCAAGTAGTTAATATGATTGACTTTATTAATTATATATATTTTTAAATTTTTTCGTGATATTAATAAAATACTTGGTAAATAAATATACAGCATTATTTTGTATTATAACTTTGAAATTTAATTAAAAAATAGTGCACAAAAAAGATAATAGACAATGTAGTGAATATAATCAATTGATGAATTTGAATGTAAAGAATTTTTACATTGGAGAAATATAAAGACAATATAACTAATAAAATTAATTCTCTTAATTTAATTTATTGATAATGAATAATTTTTTTTTAATAAAGACATTGTAGGGACAATGTAGCGAATATAATCAATTGATGAATTTGAATGTAAAGAGTTTTTATATTGGAGAAAAATAAATACAATATAACTAATTAATTATTTCTCTTATTTAATTTATTGATAATGAATAATTTTTTTTGAATAAAGACATTGTAGACACATAATTCTAATTTAAAGAAATGTATATGTATTATTTTTTGTTGTAGCTAATAAATTATTATTTTTAATTTAATAAGAGTAAAATAGAGTACTAATTATGCAACTTTGGTTGGGATGAGATTCGAACCTAAGACCTTTCTTATTGAAATCAATGAGTAAGTTAACGGTGGACTAATAGAAATTAACGGAAAAGATAATATTTAACGGAAAAGTTAACAGATAATCATATTCATTAAGGATAAATTAGGAAATCTCAAAGGAAAAATTAAAATCTGATCAATCTGAGCCATTCATTTGATTAAAAAATTTGACCGCCATTTTTTCTACCCATTATAGGCCTAACTCTCTTGGGCTCTTATTAGTATATATATATATATATATATATATATATATACTAGTTTTTCTACGCGCTTTGCGCGAATAGGATAATGCCCAATACTTATTTTTAAATAAGTATTTCAAAGTATATCAATGCAATATTATATAGAAGATGTTCATGCATAAGTAAATAAATGTTAAATTTGTTTATTTAAATCGATAATTTAAAGTATATAAATGCAATATAATATATGAGAGATTAATTATATATAACTGTCACAAAAATAAATGTTTGCAACTTTGTAATAACATTAATCTAATAACACTCTTTCTCAACTAATAAAAGAGAAATTACACAAGCACTTGGGAGGTACTCATCAGAAGACGTATTTTCTTGTTTTGGATAATATACCAAACACCCGGGCTTTGGGTGATATCCTAACATGTCTTCCTAATGATTCATTCTGAATCCGTATATTGCTGACAACTCAGTTCAATACTGTTGGTTGTGATGCTGCCACATTTGGTAATGTGCATATTAGATCCAAACAGAAGTTGGGATCTATTTTGCAACAAACTCTCTCCCAAAGAGCTTAGAGCACCAAAATTTGTAGAAATTGCCAAACATGTTGTGAATGAATGCGAAGGGTTGCCACGGTTAATTGTTGCAATTGCAGAGTGTTTGTCTAAATGCGGTTACATTTTAAAGGAATGGAAGAAGATTGAAAAGGAAGTCGAGACATTGGGACCTCTGTACAATGATGCCGAGCACTTAAGTAAGCTTACTCTATTTTACAATCAATTGCCACAGCATTTGAAAGTTTGTTTTTTTACATTTTGCAATCTATCCAAAAGGCTTTAAAATCAATGTGAAAAGGCTTATTAGGATATGGATTGCTGAGGGATTTGTGAGGCAAATGGAGTGTAAGGGATTTGGGAGGCAATTGGTGAAGGATTTAGAAGAGGAAGGTTGCTGCTATTTAGATGGTCTTGTTCATAGTGGTCTAGTCTCAATCAGCAAATGGAAACATAAGATGACTAATGTTTGTTGGATACATAGCTCCTTATGGGACTTCTCTGTACAAGAGAAACTAAAAAAGAGGGTCTCCTATGTGCGGTGTATACTCGAAAAGATTTAGGATTGCCATTAGACATGTTTGTAAATTCATGTCGTTGGTTAGGTTTATACTCGCATAAGTTGGATTATTACACGCTCTTTACTACAAATAACCCTCGCTCTCTTTTCTTCTTTCATGGAGATTATGTAAAGTCGGTATCTTTCAAGCTATTAAGAATTGTGGATTTGAGTGCACTCAAATCTTCAAAATAGTGCCATTGCATTTAAGAGATTTAGTTTTTCTGAGATACCTATCTGTACCATCGTGGTTTGATGGTTTAGATGATGTAGTGTCAAACAATCAGAATTTGCAGACAGTTATTGTTTCTGGTGGTGAACCACATATACATAGAACTGGGCATTTGTCATTCAGAATTTGGGAGTTACCACATTTAAGGCATCTTGAACTTGGCAATTACTATGAGGTGGTTCCTCCAAACAGGAATATAGATCAATTGCAAACATTATCGTGGGTTATCCAACTCATTTCACAGAAGAGGTGTATAGGAAGTTCCCAAACTTAAAATATCTGAAGGTTTTCTATAAAGGTGCCTTTGAGCCAAGTAGCAGCCCTGGATCTTACAAAAACCCCACCGTCAATTTGGATTATATTAGGTGTTTCTCGATGCTCGAGACACTTACGGTTATAGTCCCTGCAAACAGTATGACCCATCTAGAGCGGCCAATGTTTTCTATAGGGCTGAAGAAGTTGAGGTTGAGCGGGACTAATCTCCCGATAATGAAACTTCCATGGGTATTGAGAGGTTTAAAGGTGCTCAAACTAGAAAACGCCTTCTCTGGCCAAGTGTGGGGATCATTTGAACAATTTTCTAACTTAGAAGTGTTGTTCATTGAGGCTACAGATCTCCAGAAATGGGAGGTCAGGTGTAGTGCCGATTTCCCAAAACTAAAGTGTCTAATCCTAAGACGTTGTTATTGTTTGGAAGAGATCCCATTTGATGTTAGCTTTATTGACACCCTAGAGACAATTAAGGTGGAGCAGTGTTCCCTTAATCAGGCGTGCGCGGCTACTTCGAGTTCATGCTTTCCTTACACCACTTACTGTTGTTGTCGACAACGTGATTCATGATTTTAGCTAGCTTGCTAGGTATATATGTGTTTCTTTTCTCTTCTATTATATTGTTTGTTTTATTTGCCAAATCTGTTTAAAATATCTTCTTCAATTCTCATCTGGTTTCATATATGTTCCTCATTTTGCATTATTTTTTCAGTGATGGGACAAATTCCAATGATGAATCACAGGATATATTGTATAAGAAATAATGATGCCGCCGCAGTTAGATGCTAATAATTTCTTACCAAGTCTGTATTCAATATTTTTTCTGTTGTCAGTTTTAACATCATTGGCTTATTGTCAACAAATTATCTCGATTTTATTTATTACGGTATTCATATTGAAATCTAATTATAATAAAATAATAAGAAAAACTAATTTCATTTGCTAAAAGCTAAATTTTTTTTCTTTTGAAACACAATACTTACTATGTTCAATGCATTTTTAAGACTTATTTTTTTTTTTTTAATATAAATAATTTGAACATAGTAGGTATTATGTTTCAAAAAAAAAAAAAAAAAAAAAAGCTTTTAGCAAACGGGTGTTAGCAAACAGAGCTTTCGGTAAACTATTCGTGTTTGTGTTCGGTAAGCGTTCGTTTATGCTCGTTTATTAAGGTAAACAAATATAAATGAACAAATTCTAGAGCTCGATTGTTAAACGAACAGAGTCTGAACATTTGTAAGCTTGTTTGCTAAAAGCTCGTGAACAAGCTCATTTGTATTCGTTTAATATTGTTCATGAACAAGCTTGTCTAGTGTTCGTTTAATAATGTTCACAAACAAGCTCATTTAGTGTTCGTTTAATAATATTCATGAACATGTTCACAAACAAGCACTTAAATATATATATATTTAATAAGCTTGGAGTTGAAGGTTGGAATGAACTTGGAGTAGAATGTATTAAGTTTTTTAGGATGGTGGATGCAGAATCTAAAAATATCTTATGATATAAGTTTTGTGTTTGGCTTGTAATGTGAACAAACAATTTGTGTGTATGTTTCTTTTATCTAATTTTTTGAGAAGACTTGTATTTTCATTTTGATATTAGATGCTACGATTGGACTTATTCAACTATTTGTATTAGTTTTGTAATTGTCTTGCTTGTTTAGTTATTGTTCGTGAACATAGTTCACGAACGAATTGTGATCATGAATATATACATGTGTTTGGTTATTAAGCGTTCACGAACGTGTTTATGAACATAAACGAACATATTTGCGAAACGGTAATCCAATTACCGACTTGCATGCAACCCTAATTGAAAAAGGGCAATGGAATAAGTACTTTACACATTTTTCTTCAACCCTACCCGAACTACACAATATTGTCTCTCTCCTCTCTCATTTACACATTAAAGTCATCAGCCCAATATTGAATTCCTTTAATTTATAAAGGACTATGTGGTTGCTATTATTGACGACCCTTGGTGAAGCTAAAAGGCACTTCATATTCTAATGTGCAAAACTTGAAGTTGAAACACAGGCAGGGAGGACAACGAAATTAAGAATTTTTGAAAATAAGTCATACTTTCCATTTTAATTATAGACTAAATTTCTAGCTATTGACACATTCACCACTTGATTGAGACATGTTTTTTAGAAAAATTGAGGGAAGCTGTCATTGAATATATATAGATTATGAATACGTGTAAGTAAACTATTCTTCTTCTTCTTCTTCTTTTTTTTTTTTTTTTTTTTTTTTTTGTTGGAATTTTAATAATAAGTAGGCCATATTTCTAATCTGATCAGAATCCCGGAATTATTGGGAAGGAGAAGAAATGTAGTATAAATGTGTAAAACCAGAAGTTGCCAGCAAATGCATTAATACATTACTCAAAAAGAAAAAGTGAGAGAGATGGCTTGTGTTGCATTGACTTCTCTCATGGCAACAATTGAGTTTGAGTTCCTTCAACCCAACCACAGAGTGTCTGTTCTTGATGAAAAGTCATTGAAATCTGTGTTTGAGAAGCTTTCGTCTTTGGAAGCCTTTCTGAAGAAGGAATACAGCAATGGTGGCGCTCCAATCCGAGATCTGCAAATCAAAATCCGAGACTTTGCACTCAAAGCTGAAGATGCCATCGAAATACAACTAACAAACATCCTTCAACTTGTGCCCAAAGACGGAGATACAATGCCCAACAATTGCAGACAACATTGGATCCTTGCAATGCTGTCAACAGTTTGAGGATAAAATGTTTGGTCGTGACGGTTCCTTTGCAAGGATAAAGGTTGATTTACTCCACCAAGTCGGGGCACAAAATCGAATAGTTGTCCCAATTTTTGGAGCCCCAGGGGTTGGAAAGACTACTTTATGTCAAAAACTGTATGCAGATGAAAAGGTTGTATCATGTTTTGACATTCAAGCTTGGGTTACTATTCCGCGGCAAAGATACAATGCCCAACAATTATTGTGCCACCTTCTTCAATCAATAAGCCCAACCTCCAATGAAATTCACATGGGAAACACCGTTTCTCAGCTAAAAGAGCAACTCCACAAACACTTGAAATGCAAGAGATATTTCATTGTTTTGGAGGATGTCCCTAACACTCTGGTTTGGGATGATATCCAACCATGTTTCCCAGATGACTCAAATGCAAGCAGGATATTGCTAACCACTCTTTCCGGTGATGTGGCTAAGAACATTAGCACACCTGCCTTTCACATCTCTTTCCGAAATTTCAGTGAAAGTTGGGATCTATTTTTCTACAGATATTCTCGCAATCAGTATGTGTATATGGCACCTAAATTTAAAGAAATTGCCAAGAGTCTTGTTGAGGAATGCAAAGGATTGCCACGCGCAATTGTTACCGTTGCAGACCGTCTATCTAAATGCAACTACACGGTGAAGGAATGAAAGAAGGTTGAAAAAGAATTACTGTCATTGGGAACTCTACATAGAGATACACAACACTCAAGTAAGCTCGCTGACATTTTCAATCGTTTGCCACAACACTTAAAAGTTTGCTTTCTATACTTTGCCGTCTTTCCAAAAAATAGTCAAATCCAAGAGGAAAGACTTATTAGGTTATGGATTGCTGAGGGGTTTGTGAAGTCACTAAGGTCGTGCCTGCCATTAGAAGATATAGCTTACAATTATTTAGAGGATCTTAGAAGTAGAGGATTAGTAACAAAAAGTAGTGGATGAGAAAGCTTGCAGACCAAAGACTAGTTATGGGATACATGTTGACATGCATAGCTTTTGCGTACAAGAAGCTCAAAAAGAGAGTCTTTTATGTGCCGTAAATGGTCAACAATGTATTGGATGGCCACTAGACATACTTGCAAATTCATGTTGTTGGTTAAGTTTACGCTCACATATTTTGGACTATCATGTGTTGTTTAGATCAAATATCTCTCACTCCCTTTTCTTCTTTCAGAGAGATTATGAAATGTTTATAGCTTTCAAACATCTAAGAGTTGTGGATTTGAGTCAATCTCGAATGCTCAAAGGAGTGGCATTGCCCTTGAGGAATTTAGTTTTCTTAAGATATCTATGGGTTCCACAATGGTTTGAGAGCCTTGATGATGTAGTCTCAACTAATTCGAATTTGCAAACCCTTATTGTTTCTGGCATTGATGAACCAACAACACTCAGAGCACCTACCCTTCATTTGACATCCAAAATTTGGGAGCTGCAACATTTAAGGCATCTCGAAATTGGGGATATGTATATGGTAGATCCTCCAAACATGGTTAAAGAGCATTTGCAAACATTAGTTTGTGCGATGCCAATTCATTTGAGCAAAGGAGTGTATTATGGCAGGTTTAATTTCCAAGCATAAGAAAACTGAAAATTGTGTATAAAGACGTGTTAGTGCCGGGTTGCACTGGTGGACGTTACAGTAATCCCATCACCATTGTGGAGAATTTTGAAGATTTATTAAGGTTGGAGGCTCTAAGTGTTATAGTAGTTCCAGTTGGTAGTATAACCCTGTTAGAGCGGGTTGGTTTTCCTGCAAATTTGAAGGAGTTGAGGTTGAGTGGGACTAATTTGCCCGTGAAGGTTTTAGGGGTAATTGGAGAGTTGCCCAAGCTTGAAGTATTGAAACTAGAAAATGCTTTGCATGGAAGAGTGTGGGAAGTAGTTAAAGGAGGATTTGGTGTACTAAAAGAGTTGGAGCTTGAAGCCACAAGTCTTGAGCGATGGGTGTGCAAAGGTAGTCGTCAGTTCCCAAAGCTCAGGCGTCTATTCTTAAAACGTTGTTCTTCTCTGGAAGAGATCCCTCCTCGTATTGCAAAACGCCTCCGATTTGTGCTTTCGATTGAGTTGGAGCTATATCCCCCTTGTGTTGTCTCTTCTGCCAAGAGGATTCAAAAAGAGAGAATGCGCAACCAGCTTGATGTGCCTAGAGTTACTGTGGACGGCAAGATTATTTCAGTATGTTGTGTTTCTTTCTCTTCATCACTTCTTTTGCTTAATTATTTTCTTTAATTTGCAAAATATAATGTGTTTTCTGTCCTGGATGGGATCCATACATTTTGCATTAGACTATATTGTTTCATTGATATGATATGATGAATCACAGTGTACAAAATCAGAAGCCTGGGAAGAAGAAGAAGAAGAAGAAGAGTATGATGAATGGGTGTGTACAGAATCAGAATCCTCGCAAGAAGAAGAAGAAGAAGAAGAAGAAGAAGAAGAGTATTATGAACGGCCGGTTATAGAATCAGAAGCCTCGGAAGAGGAAGATTATGATGAATGGGTGGCAACAGAATCAGAATCCTCGGAAGAATTGAAGAAGAATAAGAGTATGATGAAAGATTGTTGTTCTGTTTGCTGCATAAAAATCATAGAATTCTGAGACAGACATTACACAAGTAGTCCAACCTAGCTTGTACCTTGAAACAATACAATAGCAATTGTTTTGAGAAAATGCTTTCGCATACAGAATGCGTGTGTGTGATGATATGATGTTCCAATTGCCCCAAACACCCTCCCTTAAGGAGGTGTCTGAATCTATTGTTTGGGGTGATTGAGCTTCTTGTTTCTTCTTATTGTTGATGGGTGTTCATTCCTGATTGTCTATGATGGAGTGCACATTTTGCCAAATAATATAATTGGAGGTCGAAAATTATTATATTCAGGGAGCGATAGGATTTTGATTTCCTTACATTTTCATTTAAATGAGCTTGCCACATTCATTTCACTACATTTTCATGGTAAAAAGAGGGACAACATTTTTTTTTTTTTACATAGGTTGATTACACCATCATTTGAGGAGTATGATATTTCACCCAAAAAAAAATATTTTGTAGATATTGCATGTCACCTAGCAAGTGGCCGGATTATTTGTGAAGATTAAATAGGAATAAATAATGATGTTGATGAGTATGATTTTAAAAAAAGATCATTATTGATTTGGGGTTTGAGTTGACTTTTAGGTGCGCTCATTATGGATGCCTGATAGACCGCAAATTATGTCCGGGAAACGTGTTCATCATTCATGGTGAACACGAGTCCAAACGACACCGTTTTTATGAAAAAAAAATTTTAGTTAATGTGCTGTTAACGGCGCGCGTTTGTTCAGATTATGAATTTTCTGTTATGAGATTATGAATATACTATAAATTCATAATCTCATAACAGAAAATTCATAATCGCATAAAAGAAAAACATTTATTAAATTATGAATTTTCTGTTATGAGATTATGAATTTACAGTTATGTAATTATGAATTTTTTATAAATTCATAATCTCATAACAGAAAATTCATAATTTAATAACAGAAAATTCATAATCGCAAACCAGAAAATTCATAATCTCATAACAGAAAATTCATAATTTCATAACAGAAAATTCATAATCTCATAAAAGAAAATTCATAATTTCATAATACTGCACATTCATAAATCCATGCCTGCACATTCATAATTTATGAATGTTGAAGAAACTTGCGCGAAGAGAAAGTGAAACCGCGAAATGTGAAAATGAAGAAGAAAAGTTATGCGATTAATTAAGAAAAAAAAAAAAAAAAAAAAAAAAAAAAAAAAAAAAAAAAAAGAAGAAGAAGATAACGGTGCTCCGTTACCGTTGGGACCGTGTTCACCATGGATGGTGAACACGGTTCCATGGCATAACGACTGCGACAGACGACTCCTCTTGCGGCACCACCTCCACGTGAGCAGATTTCTTGAGTTCTATACATGATTTCATGCATACAAATGATTAAAAAAAATAAGAATAAGAATCAAATAGATTATCGAACTACACACCAAAATGTAATTAGGTTATTGAATTCAAAAAACATATAATTGCGTTCCTAAATTAACTAATTTCATGTAACTAATCCAATTTACAGATTTTTCATGGCAAGATGGATGTCTAGCTCCATGCATGTGCGAATTGACTGCAAGATCATAATTTAATTTAATGGCCTTTCAATCATATTTTAATTGGGCTGATATCAGATCATGTCTCCCTCTTTATTTATACCAGCTTCAAATTTATGTATTGCTGACCACTCAGTTCTATAATGTGGGTTCCCATGCCGCCATAGACGGTAATTAATGTGCATAAAATGAGTGCACTAGAATTCAGATACAAGTCGGAAGTTGTTTTGCAAGAGACTCTCTTAAAGAGCATATAACACCTAAATTTGAAGAAATTAAATAGGGAAGCGTGTTGTTGAGGAATGTGAAGGATTGTCACAGGTAGTCAGGTTGGCTTCTGTCCTCCCGAGATTGTTGTCTCCTCATCAAAGTGATTTTGTCTCGGGGCGATCAATCACGGATAATATTTTGCTTGCCTCTGAGATGTGTCATGGTATAACGCTAGGGAATCAGGATGTAGTGCTGAAGCTAGACATGGCTAAGGCCTATGATCGGGTTACTTGGTTTTTTCTTGTTTCTGTGATGCGTAGGATGGGTTTTTCTGAAATCTAGATTGATTTGGTCTATCGTGCGATCTCAAATGTGTGGTTCTCTGTTATTGTCAATGGGGTCAAAGAGGGTTTCTTTACCTTGTCCCGTGGGTTGAGGCAAGGAGACCCACTGTCCCCTAGTCTTTTTATCATTGCTGCAGAGATCCTTTCTATGTACCTTGCTCGAGTCCATCTGGACGAGGGGGTCCCTAGGTTTTCTCAGCCTGTTGGTACCCCTCATATTCATCACTTAGCTTACGCTGACGATGTTATTATTTTTAGTACTGGGAGGCAGGGGGAAATCTGCAAAGTCATACGCGCTTTAAAAGATTATGAGGAGATTTCTAGCCAAATTAAATGGTCAGTTTCCCTAAGAGTGCTTTTTATATGCATCCTGACACTTCGGGTTGGGTTATTCATAGGATTGGGGATATCACTAGATGCATTCATAGGTCCTTCCCTTTCACTTATCTTGGGTGTCCTATTTATGTGGGAGGAAGAAGTGTGTTTATTTTTCATCTTTGGTGGACAAGGTTAAGGCCAAATGCCTTGGGTGGCAACGTCGGTTGCTATCCAAGGGGAGGAAAGTGGTTCGTATTACTTCTGTTTTGCAGGCTATCCCTTTACATCTCTTTGCAGCTTGTGCTCCTCCTAAACAGGTTATCCGTGACCTTGAGCGGTGCTTCGCGAGCTTCTTTTGGCGGCAGTTGGGAGGTGCATGCTACAATTGGGCGTCATGGAAAACGTTATCCCTCCCTAAAAAGGAGGGTGGTGTGGGCTTCCTTGACCTGGACTTAATGGTACGTGCATCGAGTTCAAAGCCTTGGTGGAATTTTCGCAAGGTGTATTCATAATGAGGAAGTTTCATGATTGCTAAGTACTACCGCCGAGTTCACCCGGTGGCGAAATCAGTGCGAAGTTCCAACTCACACACTTGGAAGCGGATGCTTAGCGTCAGGAATGAGGTGGAGGCAGTCTTGGGATGGCGCCTGACTTATGGCGATGTTAACCTTTGGTGGGATAACTGGTCTAGACTTGGCCCGCTAGGGCGCCTTTACCCCTTTCCAGGGGTTAGGTACTTTGGTGATTTGCTGTCTGACTTCATCCAGGATGGGGAATTGGACTTGTCGGCCTATGATGGCCTTCTACCGGCTAGGTTGGAGGCTGACATGTCCCGGTTCGGTCAAAGAGTGGCTGACATTCCTATTTGGCGGGTAGCTACGGACGGTTTGTTTTCTTTCTCTTATGCAAAATCATTATTAAGACCTGAACCGGTGAATTCTGGTCCTCTTTTGAGGGCATGTTGGCATAAACACCTGCCCTTTAAGGTGTCCTTTCTTGTTTGGCGTGTATTACCGGGCCGTTTGCCCACTGATGATGCCATAGCTAGATTTGGGCACCTTATTGTTTCCAGATGCTAGTGCTGCAGTAACCCTGCTAGTGAGACCATTGATCACATCTTTTATGCGGGGGACACTACCAGGGCTGTATGGGGTTTTTTTTTTAATGGGATCACTCAGCTTGCGATTCAGTCATCGGGGTCTACGGACGCTGTTGACTGGGTGGAAGCGGGTGGTTTCACATAACCGTCTTGTTGCTTTTGTTATTTGCATGTTGCCTTATCTCATCCTTTGGGAGTTATGGAAACACAGGAATGCATGCTTGCATAGAAGAGGACCGCCGAGTGTGCCTCGAGTGGTGTATGGCGTTGCCAAAAGGGTGACAGAGTGTCTCTTTAGGCGATGGCCGCGGGAACACCTTCTACCAACAAACTGGTCTGTCATTCTATCCTATATAGAGTCCACTGCCCCGCGATGCGTGGTTCGTGCTATTAGATGGGATCCCCCTCCGGATGGCTCTAAAAAGCTCAATCTCTCATACTCGAAGTCGGTGGGTGGGATTGCTGCCTTGGTACG